TATTTCAAGCCACTGCCTTAGTCATCTTAAATCAAAAAGAATCCAGGGTATCTGAAACCCTTTCTGCTGAAACAGACATTTTTAGAATCAAATGCTGAAATTTGTACTAGCTACTGCAGAAACCCCAACAATATTGATTTCTAGAAATCTAGCAGAAAGGTTATTTTAGTTTCTGTCCTGTAAACCAGTAAGATAAGCAGGCTCAACAGAACTAAAAGGACTAATTATCTTCGTGATTAGTTCTCACAAACTACAATTGCTTACCATTTTTTCTCCACCCAAGAGTGGGCGGTGGGATTCCACTGGACTCACACATCATACTGATGAGGTTCCCTTCAATTACAGTCAGCTGAGTTACCATATCTGAACTGTAAATACTTGGTGGCACTAGAGAAGACAAATATCAGAAACAATCACTTCTAGCTAATACAGATAATAAAGAAATTAAATGTATTAACACCAGCATAGAAAGAAAAAAATGTAAGTAAAATTCTCAACACAAATCTTTGTTTCAAGCATTAACATTCTCCTCATGGGTTAAACAACAAGTGCAAATACTTTTCTTAGTTTATTTAAAATATTTCGATGGCATCAAATTAGGAGTTCTAAACACCACAGAGATCCCTGAGCTTTAGCACTGGCAGCAGTTAGATGTTATACTGCGTGATATTATTTCCAACTGTTATTTCATTTTTTTTTTCATTGAATTAGTAAGCTCACTAGAGTTTCCAAGAACAAAGCCTTTACTATTGCTGAATATTTCCAGCTTTTGGAATGCTAGGTACTCTGAGGAGCAGACTGATACTAAATCAGATAGACAGCTTTCTTAAATTTAGACCCCAAAAGCTGTCCAACATTGCTTCTGATTCCACAGCCAAACAAAAAATATATTTCTGAACAGTTCACCCACAGATGATTTTCACAGGCAAATCAACAGCAGCCCCGAAAGGCTTTTAAGAAGTTTAATATTCCAAAAGGGTCAAGGTGTAACATTATAGAAGGGCATTCTAATGCAGTGTAGTAGGAAACATTTTCTAAAATGGGGTCATTTCAACCAGACATAGGGGATATTACATAGGAGCCCAAGTTGGTTTATTGACAGTGCTGGAGGCAAAGGCAGGTCTCAAGAGGGATGGAGTTATGGTCTTTCTTTATAGACTTATACAAATTAAATTATACATGTGATTAGATGTAGCAGCCAGGTTTTTGATTGGATATAAGACATCATGTGCTTAGTGAGGTCAGTGAGGCCATTAGGGTGTAACTATGAGGTAATGGGATAAGACTACAAAGAAAATGGGCTTTGAAACAACAAAGAGGCAATATTTCATGAGAGATCACCTCCTAGAATCTATTCCCAGCTTATCAGCATTTCCTCAGCCTTCTAAATGTTTTTATGTCTACATTGACAGTTTTAATTCCTCTGGGAATGTGTTTTTGGAAAGGGGGTAGTTGCCTAATTTGACACCATATAGCTGAGCCAGTGTTTTGTCTTCCCTGGGAGGATGTATGTGGGTTAGGGGCTTTTAAGTTGACCCTCAACATTCTCCTTCAGCTGCATGTCTAGGAAAGATATTCATAGAGCAGAGTCCCCCTCAACTGGGCCCAGCATGTATTTTGCTCTTGGGGGTCCTCTCAGATTCTATGTTTCATTCAGGAAATGCCTAATGGTAAATCACCCCCCGCCGTAGATCAGTGTTGTCCAAACTTGGCCACTTTAAGATGAGTGGACTTCAACTCCCAGAAATCCCCACCCACCCCCTGGGTCCGGGGGAATTTTGGAGGGTGGGGGTACTCATCTCTATATGGTCAAAGTTTGTGTCAGAAGTTTT